GGATTAGAACCTCTGTCAGGATTTTATTTTGCTGGAAGGAAACTTCACCCCCACACAGCTGTATAAGAAAGGATTTCCCCTTAGGCTATAGAGTTTCTTAGTGAGTCTTAGGGACAGGTTGTAAAAGTCCAATCTCTTCAAAGGGGCACAGATAACAAAAAATAAACAGGAGTTTCCACCATTCCTTACTCTATGCAAAACTGAAATAACAAAAACATTTGACTCTACATACACTTTCACACCCCTGTATGCGAACCAACTTGTAATTTAAGTTGACTGGACCTTACGCAACTGACAAAAACATAATATATTTTTAGTATTAATAAGCAGCTTTTTTCTTTGTCCTTAGTCAATGTTTGCCATCCACATTTCAGTAGGAACAGGAGCACTAAAGTCCAAAAGTTTATTTTTCCATAAAGATGGCAGTATACTAGATAGCAAAATCTCAAATGTCACTAGATCCCAGCTTGTTACATTCTCCTCCAGGTACCACTGTTAACTGAACGGATTCCTCTTGATTCTGAGGTCTCTTAAAGCTAGCCTGGAGCTGGATTTCAGGATCTGGGCAGAATAAATATTGATAGACAAAAGCAGCAAGGATACCACCCATCATTGGACCAATCCAGTAAATCTGCAGAGAGTTGAAGAATACAAAATGAACCATAAATGATTTGTGATATTGTTCAACATACTGTATACAATGTTTCATTATGCAAATTCTACTTGGGGGGAGGAAAAAGAAGTGAAGGTAAGAAAGAGAGAGGAGGGAGGAGAGGAGAGAGGAAAGAGGAGATGAAAGATGAGTATGGAGGGAAAAGAGGATAGATACAAGAAAATGAGAGACCAGGGCTGGAGGGGAGTGAAGGAGAGTAATAGGGAGGGGATGAGATGAGAGAAGAGAATAAAAGGAAAACTAGGAGATGAGTGGGGAGGATTAAGGAAGGGTGGGAAGGACAGGAGTGGGAAGGGAGGAGATGCAAAAGGAAAAGAGAAGGGGTAAAAGGAGGGGAATAGTGGGAGTATAGAAGGACAGGAATAAAGGAGAAGAGAATCAGAAAGGAGAAGTAAAGAAGAGGAGATGAAAAGAGAATGGAGAAGAATAGACGGGAGCGGTAGAGTAGAGAGGACAGAGAAAATATTGTTTAAAAAAAACGCTATACTTATAAAATGTTTAAAGCCCAGCTAAAACTTTTTTTGCTTTAGACAGAGTGGAGAAGGGAGAGAGCCTCTTGCAGGTTTTTATTTGTGGTCTGTATTCCCACTAAGAAAACGAGTGATAGGAAATCTCTCACAGAATGCACCACATTTGTCAGTAAAATGTGGTTCGTTTAGAACCTCGGTTATTGTTACTCTCTGTATCTTCCTGTCCCAGTGACATCCGCTCCCCACATTTCCTCTTCTGCTGTGACAGGGGCAGGAAATGAGATTAAAAGTCTCCAATGAGGCAACAGAGAGCAAAAAAAGCTTAATAGAAGTATTTGCCCTTTACGTGTCTACTCAAAACAGTAGTAGTCTCCAGAATACTCCTGACCTAGCGTTAAATCCAGTCAAGATTTTTTTTCTTTCTCTTGCTACATATAATGCATAGGCACTTTTTTCTGTGCCGTTTCAGACTTACCCAATGGCTTTCCCAATGGTTAAACACAAGACTCGTTCCTAGTGATCGTGCTGGGTTCATGCTGGCACCAGTGTACTGAATCTAAGAGGAATACAAAAAACCCAAGATAAAACATAGTTAAAAATAAAAATATAAACCTATAACTGAAATGCACTTTTGGAGGTTAGAAATATGGAAGCTGCCTTTGCTGACTTATTTTTAAAGTTGCAGGTTTCAGGGCTGTCATTCTGATCCTAATAGTCCTTGTTAGTCTGATCCTAATAGTCCTTGTTAGGTCACAAACCTGGAACAAACATGCAGACAGTGAAGTCTGAAAACTCTTCTTTCCTGCCAACAGGTCATTGACTCACTAGTCAGTAAAGCAAGGATCAGAATGACAAAGATTGTGCAATCTTCTGCAGAAGTCAGCAATGACAGCTTCCATTTTTCTTTACTTACAGATTTCTGTTAAACAAGGGTCATCATGCATTGATGAAATACTTTTATACAATTACATCACACCAGAATAACACACAAGCTCACTAAGTGTAATATGTAAAAACATTAAGGGAATGGCTTGCCTTCTGATCAATATAAATTTAGTGCAATTATAACTAACAATCTTTATAGGTGCTCAGGGGTCATTTGGAGAGGACGCAGATGTCGGCCTCCTTTGCCCTTAAAGTGTACATGTAGCCAAAACCCTTTTTTGGATAGCACAGGGAGTGTTTTAAACCCCTGTCAGTTTATTTTTTAACTTGTTGCCCCATTGGGGAAGATTTCCGTTTCGCTTCATGTCCAGAGATGCAACAAAATGCACAAAATAAGGGAAATTCCCCTCTTAGACAGTGTTCCCTGGAACTGGTGTATCCATTGGCAGATTTGTTATATCTCCTTGGGACTCCAATGATGAAAATATCATCTTAATGTTCCTAGGGTCTGCCCACCTGCCGCCACCACCACTACAAGGTGATCCAACTATGTCTGCCAAATCCACCAAACTGCACTTATACCTGCACTGTACACTTACAATGGAATTGGTGGTTGCCCCGGAGGCTTCATATGGTGCATTGAGAGAACAGTCTTGGTTTATACGCTTGTATAGTGATGTCACATAAGCACCCCCAGGTATATATGTTACATGTACGTACCAGGTTTAAGAGGCAGCGGATTCCCTGTGAGTGCATGTAATCTTTGTACTTTGTGAGCACTTTGGTTTGTGGTTTTAGCAAGATATACATAAACACAATTGGGGTGGTGTATGAAACATTCCTGTGCTCCAAACTAGTACAACAGAGAGTTTAGCTCTAAAGGCAGTGCATTCAATATGGCTGATCCATAGTTTGATGTAAACATTACATACAGGAACACTATACATACGGCAATAACATATTAACTTGAATGTCAAGATCCAGAGAGCAAAAAACTATAGAAGGACCAGTAAATCAAAATACAAATTAAATTACATATGTTTCCACGTTTTATACTAACATTTAGAGATTCATATGAAAACACACCTATCTTGCATGTTACTGCATTTTGAAGTCCAGCTTTGCATTTTGCTGTATTTATATTATCTTTTATACTATTTTTAAACTTTGTTTTTAAAGGAATTTCCTATGACATCATTAGAAAACCAGGTAGCAGCTAAAGATGACTCCTCCCTG